ACACTTCAGCACCTAAGGGAGACCTCGATTTGGCACCTTGGAAATTGAGGGAGTCCTCGGCTCATCACCTYGATTGCTTGAGAGACCTGCAATCAAAGGTAGTCGAGCTCGAACTTCTAAGTTTTTAACACAAGCCGAACTCGAGCTCGAGCTCAAGTCTCTAATTCAAATCGAGCTCAAGCCTAATAGTTTATGAGTGAGCCCCTGCAACACAAGGTCCCCTCCGCTAGTATGTACTTATGAGATAAAAGTATCAAAGATTGTTATTATTTGGGTAAATATTCAATCCACAACCAATTAATAATAAAAAACAAAAAAATATAAATGCAAAAAATAAAAAAAATACATAAAATTTATAGAAAATTTTGTATTACTATCATTATTATCACCTAAAATTTCCATGTGCAAAACACATGCACCCTTACTAGTACCTTAAATGTGGGATTCAATGAAAGAGAATTTATTTTAACCATATCCCTTTGGTTGTCTGTTATTATCATTTGCACTTTGCAATCGTCCTAGCTTAGTGGGTTATTATTGTTGKGTTTGTAGTCTTTTAATGGGCCCTTAAGGGCCCAATTATCAGTCCATATATTGCACTTCCTTCCATTCCCTATCTTCGAGGCTAGACTTTCTTTTTTAGGTTTTCTCTTTGGTTGCATATGTTCCTCCAACACCAAATGGCTTTCTTTGAGGTCTTTTGGTTGCATAAAATCCTTGTCATTTAAGTATTTACTTTGGCTACCTCTACCCAAAAATTTTCCTCATTTTCTATTATTTCCCATCCGAGTTTCATTAGGTTTGTAGCATTAACATGTTCCATGCCCAAACCCCCATTCGGTTTAGCCATTCAGACTTTACTCCATTTTTCCAAACAAAAGGGTTTTTTATCCTTTTTGTTACCCCATAAAATAATTTTTGAAGTTTATCTATTTCTGTTGCTATTTGTTTGGGAAATTGGAACATGCTCATTTGATATTGGGCCATATTAGCTACTACTGCCTTTAACATTGTTATTTTCCCTGCCATGGATAGAGTTTTAGCTCTCCATCCCTCCATTTTGTTTTTGATTTTCTACACMTTCTCCAGGAAAGTAGATCTGTCCACCCTCTTTTCAATAATTTGTGCTCCCAAATATTCTCCTTCCATTTTGTTGTTGTGAGTTTTGATGATTTCCCCAATACTTTTTCGAATTTACTAGGCACATTTCTAGAGAAGACTACAGAGGATTTTTGATAATTTGGTTCTTGACCAGAAGCCCTTACGAACTTCTTTGATGTTTCATTTACCCTTCATGCACGCCTCTAAGGATGCTTTATAGAAGATTAGACTATCATCGTATGGAATGTAAGATTGGTATGTTTGGGCCTAAACTCATTGGGGTTTAGGCCCATTTTCTCTAGGATTTCTTTTTATATATGGTCTCTCTATCCTATCATAGGCTTTTTCCATATCAAATTTATATATAATTAAGCCCGTTTTGCCTTTTTCCCTTCATTGTATGAAATATTTCCTGGGCTATTAACATGTTGTCATTAATTTGCCTACCTAACACCAAAACTTACTCACAGGGGGACACTACTTTATTCAGTAATGGTTTTATTCTATTGTCAATGTTTTCGTTATTATTTTATATATAACATTASATAGACTAATTGGCTTAAAAGTGTTCAACTTTTTMTGGATATTTTTTTTTTGGATTAAGCAAATGAGAGTATTATTAATTTGTTTGGTCATTTTGCTCGAGCGAGAGAATGCTTTGATTACTTGTTGAACACTCTTGCCAATTATGTCCTAGTTGTCTTTGAAGAATTTGACATTAAGCCCATCTGGGCTTGGAGCTCTGGAATCTAGCTTGCATTGAATTTAAAGCCTTCATAATTTCTTCTATTTGGACTTCTCTTCCAAGTTGATCATTTTCCTCAATGGGTATTGAAGGCTGGATTCCCTCTTGGAAGACCTTTATGCTTTTTTTGTTGTCCCTTCCTTAAACCCTTCTATAAACTTTTTAGTTAATTCCCTCTTTATTTGGTCTGGACTTGATATCCATTCATTTTTGGAATTTTTATTTTTAAAATTTTGTTTCTATATTGTAGTTAAGTGAAAGAATTTTACATTTTTGTCCCCATTTTGCAACCAATTCAGTGTGTCACTTTGTGTCCCTATGAGGAGAGAAGTAACCTAGGAAAGGGTACGCATTCCACGTAATTAGGATGTCAACAGGTCGGGTTTGGCATGAGTTTGCCTCAAACTTAATCCGACCCTACAGTGCCTCAACATGAACCCTCCTTAAAAATACATAATTTTTTAACCCGACCCGACCTGATGCATTGCATTTCAATTGTCTTTTTTAATATGTTTTAAAAACCTAAAATCCATTAATTTAAGTTAGGAAATTGTTTTATAGAATCTAAGATTCTCTTTTTTCATTTAAAAAAAGAAAAAAAAAAACCGAAACCAACRTTTAAATAAATCTTAAACTTTAATGCTATAGAGTTAGAAGTCAAAAAGTTATAAGAATATTTTGTATATACAGAATATTATGACCCAGTGGGGCAGCTCATCCAAAACCCGAACCCAATTCAAATTAAAGAATCAAACCTTAACCAGATCCTAAAACCAAATATATTAACCCTAACCTGAGCCTAGGGTCAGGTCAAGCCGGGTTTACGATTTAACCCGACCCATTGGCATCCCATTGAGCCTGTCCATGCATGTATGAAAAAGATGAAAATTACTTAAACGTCCTCTATGTTCTATGACAAAAATAACAATTGTATGAAAAATACAATTGAATTTTGACTCTCGGRMACAATAAATAAACAAACATACCCTTTACAATTTTAAATCTTGCCTCGAGTCTCTTGACCGACGAAAATGCTGATGTGATGCTTTAAAGTCTTTAAAATCCTGTTTCGCCTTTTAACTGGGCTTCATTGTTTAGTTGAACAATGAAGGCAAAATTAGAATTGAACTTAAACTTCCCTATTAGCATTAGTACCGATCCGTGCAAGGGAAGGTTTAAAGGTCAGAGTACAAGAAAGGTTTAAGTATTGCTAGAAAACTTTTATTTGAAGTAGGGTTTGGGAAGGCCTAAATGATTTATTTTTCCAAAAAATTAAAATACCTGACAATGGCCCATTGCAGTGACATGCAAGCTACTCCACCCTTAATTCACGAAACAGTATATCATTTGCGTCAGTAGGTAACTAGTTTCTATGATTGGGTGTTGGGTAAAGTGGCATTGTATTAGAGGTGGATTCAGTCCTCACAAAATTGTATTCACACCCATCTCACAACCTTTTTAGTTATGCATTGGGAATAYCTCTATATATAAATATTTTTATTTTTGGAGAGATGTTTYCACTACACGGCTGAAAATGACTGTGAGAACGATGTGAGCRYAACTTTGAAAGTATTATGGTTTTAAAAAATGATCCTTAAACAGAATCATTCTGGTCACTGATTTTTAGATCGATGGTTCGACCATCTAGTTTGAACGGATAGCGCCGCTCTTTCTGACAAAATTTAAAAAAAAAAAAAAAAAAACCTAAACTGTTGAATAAGTTAACGGGTCGATAATTCGACCACCCAAGTTAATAGATCATTAACTGATTCAATAATT